AGGCCCACGCACATATATATACAAATTAGTTTCACATCAAGTGCTGCATGAAATAATATTTACAGGTAAGAAGAACGAAGACAGATAGCATTTTTAACATAATTGGCTAAGTTCTCAAGGCGGTTTACATCAGAAGAGTTTAACATTCTAACCAGTGTGTCTTTACGATTATTACCAGCAATGAAGTCTAAATATGGGAAATATTTAGAGCGAATATCTTCATAAATAGGGCAAACAAGAATGAAATGAATTTCATTTTCAACTGCCCTTAACTTGCACAATGGACAAAACCGGAGTGTCTTATTGATGCCATCCCTCCTTCCTGTGTTATGCATAATTCCCAGTTCTCCAATACGTAAAAGGGTAAGCATTCGTCGCTTTTCTTTTGATAATTCATTTAATAGATACGGTTCAAGTGATAATGATGTCTTAAATAATGATCTCAGCGAAATGTAGCGACAGTGTGATCTCAGAAAAAATAGCGACTGTATGATCTCAAAGAAAGGGTAGTGGCTATGTGATTAACAATTGATTTTGGAAATAGTGGATATATTCTCAGGGACAGGACCTATGAAACTGAGGCTTTGAATTGGTGATTGTCTATTTTGTTTGCATGACAAGGAATATTATCATGGATAACAACATCTTTATTATACAATCCATACACAACATTGTAGGGCCGCAAGGGCAGGTCAATGGCGATCGCACGAACCAGGGAATGGATACAGGGTTTGGTGTAGGTTTACCAAAATGTTAGCCCTGGGGCTATAGAGGAGAAACTCCACCATGCAGTGCCAGAATCAGTGACCAGGACAACTTTGTCTATTAGTGTTTTATTTAAGAAATAAACGAAGAGTGGGACTTATTTATCGTACAATAAAACACTGCAGGGAGAACAAAACATGAGGGGCGCAGCCTCAGGTGGTTTATTGTCCCTGCAGTGTCATATTTAAGGATTGCCTGTCGGTTGTTTTTCGGTTCATTGAGTAATGAATCGAAAAACCGATGTGCAAACTGAATGAATCCTCGTAGTGGATTCTTACAAAAGTTTGCACATCTGTTTTTCGATAGGAATACATACCATGGCTTGTCATCAATCAGGTGATTGTTTAATTTATGCACAGAACTTGACACGCCTACAAAGTCCGTAGTCAGTCAACGGAGAGTAGGATCAAAACAAAGTTCATAGGACCTGTCAATCAAGCAAGAAGCGAGAAGAACTGCAACAGTAACGGACCGGAACAAATATGTTCGGGAGAAGGCGGCCGTTTCAAATGACATGGTCAGTTACCGCCAAATTTAAACATTACTTCCCTGAGAACAGGAAGACACATTTGGAAGAAATGAAGCCCCAAGACATGAAATTTGTGGAACCAAGGCAAGCCGGAAAAAAACAACAGGCGAGCGAGCCTGCACGTTTGCTGTTTCAACCATGCTCGGCCTTCGGCCACAAAGGGTAGTTTGGACAATGAACAATGAACATGATCTCCCAATACCGACTGTAATATCTATCCCACTTTTGGGTGCGATCGTACGGCCATTGCTTTCATCTGCGCGGTTCAGCTACATCTATGAGGAACAACTCAAAAGACACATCCCTCTAAAAAATAACGTCGTCCTATTTACGACGTCATCAAGTTGCGAGCGCATGTGCCAATCTCCAGAAATGACGTCATGATAGAACAATGTTTTATCGTGCAATAACCACACTTCGTTTTTCATTGTTCTTTGCGATTTATCAAGTAGCTTTCATATATTCACTCATTAACGCAATTAGGTGTTGCATTCTGACAGTGTGGGTTCGGATCTCGGATGCGACTCAACCCCCAAAAGTACTAGAATCTGTACTTTTCTAAGAAAGTGTTATCCCAAATATAACATTTGTTTACTTTTCAGATCTTATGAAAATGCGCGTCAGAAAGTTAACTCGGCATCTTATAACACTTTCGTGTTTGACGTCACACGTGCACGAGGAATGGCTTAACACATTGCACACTTCGGTATGCACTTATCATGTACACGGTGGAACAAGCTGATTAAATTGGAATGCTTTACAAATTGCAGCGCCATCTGGAGTTCTTTATTGTTAACGTTGTCCTTTAGCAGTTTATAGTTCCTTTTTGTGCACTGGCGTTCTTTCGTAAACATTGGTCTTTCTTTACATATAACGTACTTGTTTGCGAGTTGTTCGTTGGTATCGTTTTGTATTTTGAATTCATTATTTGTATGTAAATTATAACCTTTATTTCTAACATTCATTCCGTATTCTTAATATTTAACTATTAGGCCTACTGCGTACTTTTGTCCTATATTTCAACTTTGTATTCTTACCGCCCACAGGCGCATCCACATCTATTTTCGGTAAAAAGTTTTTTAAACTTGTTTATTATTTCATTAGTATTATTATTACGTTGGAGGAAATACGGCATGCTGGTGTCAACCTTCTCTCATGCCGCAGGCTTATCACAAACATATTTTAAACAAGGCAACAGCAATCATACAATTGTCCGAGGCGGGCGCTGGTGCCTCCGAATTATGTCTGTGTCAGGACAAAGGAAAGGGGCAACTGCGGTTGCATTCCAAAGGAATTATAAACACATGTACACCTATTACTCAGCGTACGGCATTTACAAGTTTATAGCAGTCAAACAAAACGGCTACTATATTGCTCTTCCTCCCCAGGTCGTCGATTCGCATGCTCCGTATGCACACTATTTCAGGCACCGTTTTACCAGTTGTTCCTGATTTTATGATATCAAAAAATTATTAATGGATATCACAAAATGAATTATTGATATCACAAATTCGAATTTTAGATATTATCAAATGTATGTATTTAGTGATATACATGTATATAAATACATTTTATCATATCACTAAATTAAATTCATGATATCTAAAAGTATTAAGTATTTTATGATATCATTAATTCAATTTTGTGATATCAATAGTTCATTTTTGGATATGACCCGTGAATATCCCTGGTAGAATAGGTCTTCAACAACCTATGCTTGCTGTAAAGGGGGACTATGCTTGTGGTAAGAGGTTACGGGATCGGATGGCCAGGCTCTCTGACTTAGTTGATGTATACTCAACAACAAAAGTTCCTGTGACACCAATATTCTAGTGTATTTTTCAAACAAGTAAAGTTTGTTTTTCAATATTGTAGTGCATGTATGGAATCAAGTCACAAAAACGCAACTGCTACAGAAAAGCATGCATTCCATGCAAAATTTGACTTTTATGCAAGCCCCATGCATTTCATTTCCCAAGAATGGGTATAAAAACATGTGCGCATAGGGATTCCATATGCATTGTTTAGCATCGTGCTGACAACAACCACTCAGAAAAACAACAAAATTACGCAATTATTCAGTATTACGAAATGCCACGCCTGTCCGAAAATGAGCGTCTGCGAGAAATTTGTATGCTTGAAGCAGGATCGAGTCAACAACGTAATGTTGCAAGACAATTTAACGTCCACAGAAACACCATTTAGTGTTTATGGCAACGTTGGCAACAGCCGAATGCAGTCAGAGACCATCCTCGGACTTAAAAATCGACATGACAACTGGATTCGAACAAGACACCTACGAAATCGATTCCAGCCAGCAACAGTGACTGCAAGAAGCATCCCTGGCCTTGGACGAATATCTTCACAAACCGTACGTCGTCGCCTCAGATGTGTAAGGATTGTCGCCAGAAGACCCGCCAGACGTCCCATTTTGACAGGAAACCACTGTCAAGCACGTCTACAGTGGTGCAGACAGTGTCTACGCTGGACGGCCATGCAATGGGGACAAGTTCTATTCACTGACGAGTCTCGTTTTCACCTCAGCCACAACCATGGACGGATTAGAATGTACCGACGTCGAGGTGAACGTTACGTCAATCATTGTGTCATGGAAGATCGGTTCGTGGGTGGCAGTGTTATGATATGGGGTGGGATTACAGCAAGACAGAGGACCCGTTTGATAGTGGTAGAGGGAAATCTCAATGGACAGTGCTACCGCGATGAGATCATTGGCCCTGTTGTTCTACCGTTTTTGCGTTTTTGTGTCGTCGTGCCCCATACATTACCTTTCAACATGACAACGCCTGGCTTCTTATTGCTCAACTTGTTCAGGAGATGGATCGGCGCCTTCAACGTCAACCATATGTTCCACAGACACTCCAGGAACTTCGAAACATGCTCCAGCAGATATGGACAGATATCCCACAAGACTTTGTGTGACGTCTGGTCCATTCCATGAGACGACGATGTGTTGCATGCATCGCACCCAGAGGTGGACACACACGCTATTGATTTGTAAATTGACATTTTGACATGTTCATGGTTTTTTTTATGAAATCACGCAATTCTGAAATCAGTATGGCAAATTACACCATTTGAACACTTACAGGAGTCTTTCATCTGTTGCAAACCGAAATTGTTTCAGATTTGGTTAAAAACATAACTTTGCATTAAATCTTATTCAATGTCATAGGAACTTTTGTTGTTCAGTGTATGTCATTATATCCCAATTGCCTGGATCGATGGGCATGATGTCAATCAATGGATTGTCTGGTCCAGACTCGATTATTTACAGACCGCTGTCATACAGCTGGAATATTGCTGAGTGCAGCATTAAACAACAAATAAACAAACAAAAAGCATTTGGATATATAATAATCAAATTTGTGACATCAGTTATTTAGTTTGTGATATCATAAAATGATGGTGAATTTTAGGTATCAATAAATTGAATTTCCAGCTCCATATAAGACATTAGATTAATCTTAAAATCGTCAACTTTGAAAAGAAAATAAGTTTGCTCTACCCCTGTGTGTAGCGTAATAACGTAATAATGAACTATTACAACGTCAAAGCACTCTGGTGCAAGCATCCTCCTGGTTTAACTCCCATAGTTCGGGACAAAACTATACTTTATTACACTATACATGGAGGTAGAGCAAACTTTATTTCTTAAATTGTAGGTGATAAACAACAAAATGCCATATAGATTTCATGTTATGTATTAGCATCATTTCCCCTCAGATATATACATTTTCTCTATGGTGCAACAAACATATACCCCAGTAATACTCCCATATACATTCAAGATGAAACCTGTACTGCACACTTCAAGAAACAATCAGCATCCCTGCCTAATGTCCACACAAACTGATAGGGAAACAGGGAGTTCTACTGAGGCAAGCACATATCTATAGTCGGATATACTATAAGGGACATTTGTACAGTATTTAGACAACATGAACATTTAGTCATGTCATTCAAAGCATCCACACCTACAACATAATAAAAGGGATCTATTGGAGGGCTTTAAGCTCTTGACAGTTTTGGGGAGTGAGCGAATTGGGTTTTATACTCTTTGAACAGTATGTAAATCATGTCATATTAATGTTGTGAGTTACAGACACATCTACCAGCAGGATGGGTATATATGGTGCTGACAAACCAGGAGGATAATCAGGGAGAAGTCGGGGTTCAAACTTGCAACAGGTAAGGCATGAAAGTCTGTACAGCAAGTCGCTCAACCCTACACCATCAAGTCAGCCATGCACACGTTTGACAATTTGGGACAATCTTCTAGGTACATGCAGAAATCAGTGTCTACAGCTAAGCACATATATACATCTAAGGGCAATCGTCTAATATCCTATGAGGAAATTCTGATTTTCACTCAGTAATAAGCAGTGGTATGTACATATATCAAATTATATGCTTTTCTTATTTCCATTATTTGAAGGTCAAGTCTGTACAGGTACAGGGGGCAGTGTACTATGTGAAGGTAGGACACAGTGCAGGTTTTCCCAAACAAAGCCTCACACTAACATCTCATTAAGTACACGACACAGAACACTGGTCGACGACTCAAACACATATGTGACATTCAACATAAGAATTACAAAAATATAACAATAAATACAGATGATTGACATCAAAGACAGCATTTTCATAGAACCTATATATCTGATTTCCTTGTGGATTCAGATGAAGTAGCTGTCCTGGTGAACACTGACACAGATAACCTACAGACTTTCCTGGCTGGGTCACACAGGAAACACTAGCTGAGAGATGTCAAACATTCTGGGCTTCCTTACAGGTATCATTGGGGTTTACAGATAACTAGAGAGTTTACAGGTAATCCTGGGAGTTTTCAGGTACCATGGAGTTTACAGATAACTAGAGAGTTTACAGGTAATCCTGGGAGTTTTCAGGTACCATGGAGTTTACAGATAACTAGAGAGTTTACAGGTAATCCTGGGAGTTTTCAGGTAACATGGAGTTTACAGATAACTAGAGAGTTTACAGGTAATCCTGGGAGTTTTCAGGTACCATGGAGTTTACAGATAACTAGAGAGTTTACAGGTAATCCTGGGAGTTTTCAGGTAACATGGAGTTTACAGATAACTAGAGAGTTTACAGGTAATCCTGGGAGTTTTCAGGTACCATGGAGTTTACAGATAACTAGAGAGTTTACAGGTAATCCTGGGAGTTTTCAGGTACCATGGAGTTTACAGATAACTAGAGAGTTTACAGGTAATCCTGGGAGTTTTCAGGTAACATGGAGTTTACAGATAACTAGAGAGTTTACAGGTAATCCTGGGAGTTTTCAGGTAACATGGAGTTTACAGATAACTAGAGAGTTTACAGGTAATCCTGGGAGTTTTCAGGTAACATGGAGTTTACAGATAACTAGAGAGTTTACAGGTTACACTGGGAGTTTTCAGGTACCATGGAGTTTACAGATAACTAGAGAGTTTACAGGTAACCCTGGGAGTTTTCAGGTAACATGGAGTTTAAAGATAACTAGAGAGTTAACAGGTAACCCTGGGAGTTTTCAGGTAACATGGAGTTTACAGATAACTAGAGAGTTTACAGGTAACCCTGGGAGTTTTCAGGTACCATGGAGTTTACAGATAACTAGAGAGTTTACAGGTTACACTGGGAGTTTTCAGATACCATGGAGTTTACAGATAACTAGAGAGTTTACAGGTAACCCTGGGAGTTTTCAGGTAACATGGAGTTTACAGATAACTAGAGAGTTTACAGGTAACCCTGGGAGTTTTCAGGTAGTCTGGGAGTTTTCAGGTAACATGGAGTTTACAGATAACTAGAGAGTTTACAGGTAACCCTGGGAGTTTTCAGGTACCATGGAGTTTACAGATAACTAGAGAGTTTACAGGTAACCCTGGGAGTTTTCAGGTAACATGGAGTTTACAGATAACTAGAGAGTTTACAGGTAACCCTGGGAGTTTTCAGGTAGTCTGGGAGTTTTCAGGTAACATGGAGTTTAAAGATAACTAGAGAGTTTACAGGTAACACTGGGAGTTTTCAGATACCATGGAGTTTAAATATAACTAGAGAGTTTACAGGTAACCCTGGGAGTTTTCAGGTACCATGGAGTTTACAGATAACTAGAGAGTTTACAGGTAACCCTGGGAGGTTTCAGGTACCATGGAGTTTACAGATAACTAGAGAGTTCATAGTAACCTGGGAGTTTTCAGGTAACATGGAGTTCACAGTAACCTGAGAGTTTCAGGTAGTTAGTCTGGGAGTACTTACTGAGTGACCGAGTCTGAGACAAGCTGAGTTAAACAACATGTAACAGCATTCTTATTAACGTGACAATGTACATGTATGCATAGATGATATGACTTCTACATAACATGCATACAACAACAACATAGTGATGACAACCGTTATCTATGACATCTGTGTAACATACACAGCTAGTGTGGCTGCAAGATGACCTGAGAGATGACACAAGTCTATGTGCTGTATCACAGTCAGCTGGGTGTAGTCGACCTCATCTCTTTATCGAAGTATCTATGTCTTGAGCTGTCTGGATCCAGGAGTCACACGGATTGGGAAAATCTAGGAATGAAGTAAAGACACACAAAAATGAAAACAATTTTCAGGGGCAGACTTTAAAGCAATATCAGTGCTAACTTGAAGGGTTGTGGTTCCTGTGAGAGGAAAAATGTGCTTGCTAGCCCAGACATGCCAGAAACAAAAGACATATATAGATAGGATATGCAGCCTGCTCTGATTGTCCTCACTGATGTGAGACGCACTAATTATAACAGCACTTTTGGTAAGTCACTATCTGAGTGAAAGACATTGGATTGTTTTTAGATTGCGGCACCTACATAGCATTTTATGAACTAAAGGTAAGTGTTGTCATTACTTAGAATACACAAGAAAGCTACCAATATCTTGTTTTTGTGATTTAATTATTGTCCTTGGCTAAAATCCCTTTTGAAGTATAGGCAGTCATAACTTGTGGCGCCGATTTCAAAACCAAGATGGTGGACACGCTGTCAGCAAAATATGGCAATAAACAACACCAAAGGTTAATCCCAAACTGGACAATTTATTAGAGCAGCATGTCTGTCTGGGGACAAGCAGTACTATGGTGCTCACATGACGTCATCACATGTGAGCCACGTGCCCTCAACTGTTGTGATGCAGACCAACAGTTGAGTAAGTAGGTAAGCAGTAAATGCATTAAGGAGAAATGCAGGATAAGTTGTATATGAATAGTATATGTCTTTTGTCGCTTAGCTACTCCCTACTCCTTGGCCTGTGTCAAAGAGAAAGGCAATCGGTCGAAGAAACAAGAGTCGGTGTTGTACTTACCTCTGTCAATTCTCATTCCTCGCCCTAATATATTACAATTTGATTCCCAACATATTTTCATTTTGACAAGGATTTTCAGCAAAACATATCAATAAAAAATCCACTATTTAAAAAAATATTTGGATGAAAATCTGAAAATTAATGAATTAATTTATTGCGGACTTGATTTGGGGCATATTAAAGTGGTATTTTTGTCAATGTGTCTATTTTTATGAAAAGTTACAAAGAACTGTATATCGCTGTGTATAAAGCAAGTTTTTCGTACCTAGAATTAGGGGGCTTTCAAGGGGGGTCTCTTTATACACAGTGTTGAAGAGTTTTGATGATTTTTTCCCCCATGTAACACCAGAAATACCATATTCAACAAATCAGTACTGAACAACACAAATTAATTATGTAATTAGACTGGTTATAAAAAGTGTTCATTGTATATCTGGACTCATGTTTGTCATCTATTTTATTAATTTTATTCAAAACTTCATTCAATATTGTTTACATTCATTTTGGTCAAATTGTTCCTAAGAAAAAATATCCAGCAATAGCAATCAGCTGTACCAAAGTGCTACACTTTTGGTTATTAAAGTATTTCAAATATATATAGTAAAGCTGCAACTTATATAACATGATATTGGAATTTATTATTCCAGATAAATAATAATTTCAGACAGAATTCTTCCGATCATTGTATCAAAACAAATGTAAGTTATATTATTGGGTAATTGTTTAACGATTCACCGGTAGATTCCGAGAAAATGTGTGTACAGCTGATTGCTGCTGCTTTAGTTTAAGAGATAATACACAAGGTAATCCTTCTCTCTGCAAATAAACCAATGCCTAGCAGAACAGGAAATACAAATTAATCGGTAAATCATCCTGTCTAGAGATGTTTTATCGCAAATTTCAAATGTGACAAAGTTTAATTGTTATGATCTGTTCGTTTCCCTGAATTCACTATGGAAGGTAAACACATTTTCATAGCAAATGTAGGGATTGTGTATGCACTGGTGATGTGCTTCATAGACAGGGTATATAAATTAGCATCAATTTTGAAGGCTTTTACCAGGATGAATGTTACTGTTTATCATTGCATACATACGTGTGCGCAGGCACGCACATGAGCATGCACGTCATACATGCATGATTATCACATTTTTTTAGGAGACATTTAGCAAAAAATAAAAAAAATAATGAAAACATGCATTAGAACTCGCCCTTTAAATCAGATCGTTTGTGTTTTTTGACATGACCTCTGAACCCAGACAAGGACAAATATTGTTTTACACATTGTGGACACTGGTAGACTCTCGTCTTAAGTGTAGATTTTTCTGTGGTGTTCATATCTGTCTTAGATCATTTGAAAGAGTTACTCTCCTCCTCAGACCATGAATACGAGCAGAAATCTATTTCATCCTCCATCCATTCACCCAACATTTCCAATAAATCAACATTGGAATCATCCCAATACCAGTTCGCAGCATAATTGCACTTAGAATGACTGATGATAAAAACATAGTAGATATATATAACAGTCATGTTTTTATAACATGCATGATAAAATTGGCAATACATCTCTGGAACCCATAAAATGCACATGCACATGACATTCTCGTGGAGTAAAATCGAACAATAGTTATCATTGTTAATAATTCTAAGAATACTACCTTACTATTACATCTCTGCCTTAAATCCTGTATTTTGGCTTCGGTCACACTTACTAACAGACAGGTTGGCTGGCCGTACGGCTCAGCTTGCTGGTCATCTGAAGAAGGCCTTATATGAAGGTGGGACAGATGGCATCCCCCTCTGTGGTTTCGTGACCAGGGAATTCTTCCCTGTCAGAGCTATCTCATATCCTCTTCAACCAGCAGTGAGAGCTACGTCTCAAACATGCTCTTCATCATCTCCTGCTATTCTTTCAACAGTTGATGGATGAGACTCATGGAGGGTACAGGAGATGATGGGTCAGCTGGAGAGGGAGACTCTTGGTGGAAGCTGATTCCTCGGCTGTGATGTTTTCCACCTTCTTCTTAGCAGTCTCATGTCTCTTGGCCTTGGTCAAAGCCTCGGCCATCTTGGAGAAGGTCTTCTCACATCTCTTCTCACATCTCTTCTCTTGTTACATGAAGTGCCTCTGCACTTTGTGCAGTTATCATGAGGATCATCCGTGACCATGAAAACGGCCACACTTCTTGCAACCCGGGAGTAGACCTCACAAAGAACACCAAACACCAGCTATACCCACAAGCATGCTCTTACTCCAGCAGTAATATTGATGTTTATTACTTGCCCGTGAAGAGATCACCCGTTTAATAAACATACAGCTGTATTACACATTGTGTAATACCAAAACGCGTGCTTATACACTCTCGGAACACATTTAACGATCAAATATTGAAAGCTCTCAACATCCCTTGGCTTATTCAACAACATTACGTGTGGAGATGATAGATCACTGAGAAGAGCTTATGCACACTAGATGACCCCAGCAACCTTGTTGCTAGGCTGACGTCACATGGCATTGTTTCGCCAATGGATCTTGCAACAAAATTCCACAAATTACGTCATCGGGTATTGTGACGTGATTGTAAACTTTGAGGTGCAAGGCCCTGTTTCATGAAGCGACCGTATTTTAGCGCAACAACAGTCATTAGTCTAAGTTAGAGTATGTGAGTTGCGATAACCTTAGCGCTACGATAATTTTGTGAAACGGACCGTTGTGGACCGTTGTAGGGTATGAAATTCATACGTTTCAAATTTTGATGTGTTTGAAGTATTATGCTGTTAAACTCAATTGGATTATGCCGTGGATCGAGTAGGTGTCAGCCTATTCACACTCAACAGTATAATTGTAAAAACGTTAATAATGGCAAGTAATATATAAAATACTAAATTTGCTCCCGTGTAAAACCAATTTTATGAAACTCATGAATAGTTGTGGTATCTGAAAGTGGTATTACACGGGAGCTCGTTTAGTATTCTATATATATACCTATATGTCTGTTTTATTTATTAGAATAATCTTAGAATAATGTGACTTACTACCAAGTGCTAGATTGTTACTACTATTACAATAGGTGTTGACTCTAGCACACACAGGAAAAAAACTGAAACCATCATGACGTCATGGCTTAGGTAGTTACAAGACTACTTGGCGATAACTAGTTGTGTGTGTAATTGGCAGTGAAGAGGACGTCCGTTGAAAATCTGAAAATTTTAGTAAGTGTGACTGAAGCCAAAATACAGGATTTATGGCAGAGATGTAATGGAGGTAGAAGTTTCGTAAGAATTACTCTGATTTGTGCTATTGTCCTGAAGTTTGGTAACTGAGGAAGTTGATACAGTAGGCATTGCTCCAGGGCCAGATGACCAAAGATCGACCACTCGCCTCATGGCAGGGGGGTCGTTCACATGTGCTGTCGATTTACTTGGCCTGCTTACGTATCACACATCCTATCTATATACATCTTTGCTGAAACCTGCACTGCTTGAGCGTATGCTTCAGAAAGATGATTTACACAATAATCCTAATATCACTGTTTGTTTTCTACCAATGACAGTGAGTGAATGAGTGTGTCTACTGACCACTGCCAAGGCCGCTCCACTGGTCTGGAACATGGAGGAAGTAGCGGTCCATAGCCTCCAGGAAGCGGCTGCGGTACAACTGAGGGGAGACAACTGTGGGCGTCTTACCTGACAATCAGGATGAAAAACACCTGCATATTAATCTATAAAACTTTTATGGTGATTGTCGACAAGAAGCATGAGGTAATCATTTTAGAATATCATATTTCTACTGTAGTGGGCCACACAGCCACCATCACCCACCCTGTCCACCGATGATGCCAATCTGGGACTTCACCAACATCTCCAGCTTCTTGTCCCAGGTGAAGGTGCGAATGTAATCTGGAGAGAGATAACACAGATCTTATGAAGACTGACAGAGACAAGCAATAACTTGCAAAGTGCCTTAGCTCTGTCACAGTTAGACACTGATTTTCAGTATATTAGACTATTCTTTTGATAATGAGAGCAATTATTCCAGTAGTTTCTCCAGATTCCCTTTGGTTAACCTGATCGTCGAATGACGAGGTCAAGGTCAATGTTTGTTTGTAAACACTGAAATTAATCCCTACTTGACCTTTGATATTTGAATCTCTATCCGCATATGACCCAGTATCGCTATAATCCGTTAGCTTTATCCTGCCGAGAAGCCTACCCATTATATGATTAAACTTATTATCATGCAAAAGTGAATGACACTTGACTATTTGTTGTGTGCAGTTAGACTGACCGATGATGCCAACCACCAGCTCCTTCCTGGCCTCGTCCAGACCCACCAGCAGGGAGTAGTCCATCACCAGGTTGCTAGACAGGAACTCCGAGTCACTTGAGATGGCAGCATTCAGCACCGTCTTGGAGTGAGGCCGCATGTACAGGGGTGACTCCACGCTTACTGAAACAACAGTAAAAACGTCATGAAACGACAGTTTAACTCTTGTATCAGAAAACAGATGGAAGCAGTGTTTCTTACAATTTCTAGGGTGATATCCAACAGCATGGATACAAAATAACCACATGTGTCATGCTCACTGATATGCTACCTCCACTGTTGTCACATGGCTTGACAATAGTGCTTGCCAATATCAATCAACACGAAGACACAACCACATGCCTTTCAGAGTCATCAATGTGTTTTGGCTGTCATTTCACAAGAGTGTAGTGCTATTTAATACATGTTATTTCTTGTGTTTCACTCAGCAGGAAGGAAGCCAATCGCAGTGCAATGGCCAGGTAGAGCATTTCTCATATATTCCTAACATCTTTCCAAACTTTTACATTTAGAACAGATATCGATTTGGGTGTAAGTGCATCATTGCTACTGACATTTGAGAAGGTTTTCATCAAGCAGCACCAGTTCTTCCTCTCGTTTTCCGGAAGTATTAACCAAGCGGTTCCTCATCGAGCCCTTCAGGTCAAATGTCTAACAAACATAAAATACATAAAACCATGAACCTCCTAGAACACATGGAAACAACTTCAGGTCACATGCCTAGGCCTAGTAAACATTACATTTATCTCAAACATGTAAACATAGCTGCGCACATGGAATTTGTTAACTTATCATGCTCGTGTCAATATAAACCATAATGAAATGTCAACGATATGTGCAAAACCAAACAAAAAAACTACAAATGCGGAAGAGTAACAAAGCACAATGAGACAAGGCTCATACTTAGGTTAGTACACACGTGCATCGGTGTCCCACATTGACGATTGATATTGGGATTTGAGGACTTAAAAGTACATTTACAGAAGAACAATAAAATAATACATCATGAAAAACATATGAGGATAGCTGCCTGCAATACCAGAATTAGGTTAAACACTTCAAGTTACTATTACCTGAAGTCCATGTAAACAGCATAATCTTCCAAAAAGGTACAAAAGCATATTGTGTAGATGTGATAACTACATAGAAGTGCAACTGATGTTTAAGCATGTGTCAAGGGAGATAACCTGGGTGATCTTCCTGTTGTAGAAGAGGTTCTCCAGCACCAGCAGGTCCTGCTTCAGAGCGTGGTTGGTCTGGGTGTTGCGGAATCCAATCCTGTAGACGCCAAGGATCTTCGCCAGTGCAGTTGGCCTCTACATAGTCACATAGTTAACATTGTCTAACAAGTCAATTTGGCTTATACAAGATAATTACTTGAATATGATATAAATTTGATGCTTGCACTCATTAACTTAACGTCCATGCATTTTTAGAAATTAATAAATACATATCTACTATGACCTATCTAGACAAGGCAGAGGAAATGTTTATGTATTTACCAACAAATTAACTTTGCAGTAAGGTTTGGTTCATTTTATGCTGAGAGTTGAATAATGCTACATCTCCTGCTCACCTTTTCCCCATAAGCTCTTGTGATGTACTTGAAATATTCAGGACCAAACTTCTCAAAGGATTCAACCTCCATACCAGACATCTGTTTCAAGATGAATCGGTCATCTACAACATGTCACACAGGCTCACAGACATCTGTTTCAAGATGAATCGGTCATTTACAACATGTCACACAGGCTCACAGACATCTGTTTCAAGATGAATCGGTCATTTACAACATGTCACACAGGCTCACAGACATCTGTTTCAAGATGAATCGGTCATCTACAACATGTCACACAGGCTCACAGACATCTGTTTCAAGATGAATCTGTCATTTACAACATGTCACACAGGCTCACAGACATCTGTTTCAAGATGAATCTGTCATTTACAACATGTCACACATGCTCACAGACATGTTTCAAGATGAATCGGTCATCTACAACATGTCACACAGGCTCATAGACATCTGTTTAAAGATGAATCTGGCATCTACAACATGTCACACAGGCTCACAGACATCTGTTTCAAGATGAATCAGTCATCTACAACATGTCACACAGGCTCACAGACATCTGTTTCAAGATGAATCGGTCATTTACAACATGTCACACAGGCTCACAGACATCTGTTTCAAGATGAATCGGTCATCTACAACATGTCACACAGGCTCACAGACATCTGTTTCAAGATGAATCTGTCATTTACAACATGTCACACAGGCTCACAGACATCTGTTTCAAGATGAATCTGTCATTTACAACATGTCACACAGGCTCACAGACATCTGTTTCAAGATGAATCTGTCATTTACAACATGTCACACAGGCTCACAGACATCTGTTTCAAGATGAATCAGTCATCTACAACATGTCACACAGGCTCACAGACATCTGTTTCAAGATGAATCAGTCATCTACAACATGTCACACAGGCTCACAGACATCTGTTTCAAGATGAATCGGTCATCTACAACATGTCACACAGGCTCACAGACATCTGTTTCAAGATGAATCTGTCATTTACAACATGTCACACAGGCTCACAGACATCTGTTTCAAGATGAATCTGTCATTTACAACATGTCACACAGGCTCACAGACATCTGTTTCAAGATGAATCGGTCATCTACAACATGTCACACAGGCTCACAGACATCTGTTTCAAGATGAATCGGTCATTTACAACATGTCACACAGGCTCACAGACATCTGTTTCAAGATGAATCGGTCATTTACAACATGTCACACAGGCTCACAGACATCTGTTTCAAGATGAATCGGTCATTTACAACATGTCACACAGGCTCACAGACATCTGTTTCAAGATGAATCGGTCATCTACAACATGTCACACAGGCTCACAGACATCTGTTTCAAGATGAATCAGTCATCTACAACATGTCACACAGGCTCATAGACATCTGTTTCAAGATGAATCGGTCATCTACAACATGTCACACAGGCTCACAGACATCTGTTTCAAGATGAATCAGTCATCTACAACATGTCACACAGGCTCACAGACATCTGTTTCAAGATGAATCGGTCATTTACAACATGTCACACAGGCTCACAGACATCTGTTTCAAGATGAATCGGTCATTTACAACATGTCACACAGGCTTACAGACATCTGTTTCAAGATGAATCAGTCATCTAAAACATGTCACACAGGCTCACAGACATCTGTTTCAAGATGAATCAGTCATCTACAACATGTCACACAGGCTCACAGACATCTGTTTCAAGATGAATCGGTCATTTACAACATGTCACACATGCTCACAGACATCTGTTTCAAGATGAATCGGTCATTTACAACATGTCACACAGGCTCACAGACATCTGTTTCAAGATGAATCGGTCATTTACAACATGTCACACAGGCTCACAGACATCTGTTTCAAGATGAATCGGTCATTTACAACATGTCACACAGGCTCACAGACATCTGTTTCAAGATGAATCGGTCATCTACAACATGTCACACAGGCTCACAGACATCTGTTTCAAGATGAATCAGTCATCTACAACATGTCACACAGGCTCACAGACATCTGTTTCAAGATGAATCGGTCATTTAAAACATGTCACACAGGCTCACAGACATCTGTTTCAAGATGAATCGGTCATTTACAACATGTCACACAGGCTTACAGACATCTGTTTCAAGATGAATCAGTCATCTAAAACATGTCACACAGGCTCACAGACATCTGTTTCAAGATGAATCAGTCATCTACAACATGTCACACAGGCTCACAGACATCTGTTTCAAGATGAATCGGTCATTTACAACATGTCACACATGCTCACAGACATCTGTTTCAAGATGAATCGGTCATTTACAACATGTCACACAGGCTCACAGACATCTGTTTCAAGATGAATCGGTCATTTACAACATGTCACACAGGCTCACAGACATCTGTTTCAAGATGAATCGGTCATTTACAACATGTCACACAGGCTCACAGACATCTGTTTCAAGATGAATCGGTCATCTACAACATGTCACACAGGCTCATAGACATCTGTTTCAAGATGAATCAGTCATCTACAACATGTCACACAGGCTCACAGACATCTGTTTCAAGATGAATCGGTCATTTACAACATGTCACACAGGCTCACAGACATCTGTTTCAAGATGAATCGGTCATTTACAACATGTCACACAGGCTCACAGACATCTGTTTCAAGATGAATCAGTCATCTACAACATGTCACACAGGCTCACAGACATCTGTTTCAAGATGAATCGGTCATCTACAACATGTCACACAGGCTCACAGACATCTGTTTCAAGATGAATCGGTCATTTACAACATGTCACACAGGCTCACAGACATCTGTTTCAAGATGAATCGGTCATTTACAACATGTCACACAGGCTCACAGACATCTGTTTCAAGATGAATCGGTCATCTACAACATGTCACACAGGCTCACAGACATCTGTTTCAAGATGAATCGGTCATCTACAACATGTCACACAGGCTCACAGACAACTGTTTCAAGATGAATCGGTCATTTACAACATGTCACACAGGCTCACAGACATCTGGACCCCCTCTGTGGTCTAGTGGTAGAGCATCTGCTATATTTAAGTGCAATAATCTTGGACGCGATGTCAAACCTCTTTTCACCTCACCTAACCTCAACTCACAGACATCTGTTTCAAGATGAATTGCTCATTTACAACATATCACAGACATCTGTCACTGCTGTATAAACCACAAAACCACAAAACCATCAACATTAAATTTAACTTTTGTGTTAAAAATAAATAAATTATCAAACAAATAATATATAACTGGATCAATTTCCAAACATTTAGGGCCGCATTAATGGGAGAGACACTCTTTCTAGCAAGGTCAACCAGTTGGTACCAGACAGTAAGTGAAGTAAAGACTCACCATCAGTCTTACAGAAGGTGGATCCGGACTTCCCTCCCTTGGCCTCCCAGGGCTTGCAACGACACAAGGACCTGATGAACCTAAACAGCAGAAATGGCAGCTCATCACCACCCTCATCACCACTCTCATTACCCTCACCCTCATCACCACTCTCACCACCCTCACCCTCATCACCACTCTCACCACCCTCACCCTCATCACCACTCTCATCACCCCTCTCACCACCCTCACCCTCATCACCACTCTCATCACCCTCACCCTCATCACCACTCTCACCACCCTCACCCTCATCACCACTCTCATCACCACTCTCATCACCCTCACCCTCATCACCACTCTCACCACCCTCATCACCACTCTCATCACCACTCTCACCACCCTCACCCTGATCACCACTCTCATCACCACTCTCATCACCCTCACCCTCATCACCACTCTCATCACCCTCACCCTCATCACCACTCTCATCACCACTCTCACCACCCTCACCCTCATCACCACTCTCACCACCCTCATCACCACCCTCACCCTCATCACCACCCTCACCACCCTCACCCTCATCACCACTCTCATCACCACCCTCATCATAACTCTCATCACCATCCTCATCACCACCCTCATCATAACTCTCATCACCACTCTCATTGCCACCCTCATCACCACTCTCATCACCACCCTCATCACCACCCTCATTCCCACCCTCATCACCACCCTCATCACAACTCTCATCACCCTCACCCTCATCACCACTCTCATCTCCATCCTCATCATCACTCCCATCCTCACCCTCATCACCACCCCCATCACCACCCTCATCACCACTCTCATCACCACACTCATCACCACTCTCATTCCCACTCTCATCACCCTCACCCTCATCACCAATCTCATCCCCACCACCATAACCACCCTCAACCCCACCCTCATTCCCACTCCCATCACCACCATCATCACCACCCTCATCTCCATCCTCAACACCACCCTCATCCTCATCTCCACCCGACCCCTAACCTCATCACCATACTTATCCCCATCATCATCATTCATCATCACCATCACCATATACATCCTCACCTTCATTACCAACTTCATCCCCACCTCACCCCTAACCTCATCACCACCTCACCCCTAACCTCATCCCCACCTCACCCCTAACCTCATCACCATACTTATCACCACCCTCATGATTCATCATCACTTCCATCACCATATACATCCTCACCCTCATCCACACTCTCATCCCCACCCTCATCACCAATCTCATCACCACTTTTATCACCACCCTCATCTACATACTTATCACCACCCACATCACCAACCTCATCACAAACTTCATCCCCACTCTAATCACCACCCTCATCACCCCACTGATCAAAACCCACATGTCCCCCTTCAACACACTCATTGATATACTTATCACCAACCTCATCACCACCCTCATCAACATTAAGTTCTCTATCTTTAAATGATATTGCAGTCAGTATATAGTGAGTAAAACATACTCGAGACCAGTGTTTTCAGAGGGTTCTACTGAGTACTCACATTTCCTCCCCTGCTGAAAAGATGAGCTTACGCAGCTGACGGAAAGGCTCAGCAAAGTAGATCTTGCAGTAAAACCTTGCCCCACTGTCGGAAAACTCTGAATACAGACATAGACAACATACAGTGTAGGATAGAAGTCTGATAGCATTGCTGTAGATTATCATCATCAAGGGTTTGTATACACTATGTTCCCCCATCACCCATTAATATATGGGGCCATTTTGCAGAGTCAATAGCCACACAGCTCCATCTGAAGAAAAGAGTCAATAGCCACACAGCTCCATGTGAAGACAAGAGTCAGTTCTCACATAGCTCCATGTGAAGACAAGAGTCAATAGCCACACAGCTCCATGTGAAGACAAGAGTCAATAGCCACACAGCTCCATGTGAAGACAAGAGTCAATAGCCACACAGCTCCATGTGAAGACAAGAGTCAATACCCACACAGCTCCATGTGAAGATAAGAGTCAATAGCCACACAGCTCCATGTGAAGACAAGAGTCAATAGCCACACAGCTCCATGTGAAGACAAGAGTCAATAGCCACACAGCTCCATGTAAAGACAAGAGTCAATAGCCACACAGCTCCATGTTAAGACAAGAGTCAGTTCTCACACAGCTCCATGTGAAGACAAGTGTCAGTTCTCACATAGCTCCATGTGAAGACAAGTGTCAGTCCTCACATAGCTCCATGTGAAGACAAGAGTCAATACCCACACAGCTCCATGTGAAGACAAGAGTCAATAGCCACACAGCTCCATGTGAAGACAAGAGTCAATAGCCACACAGCTCCATGTGAAGACAAGAGACAATAGCCACACAGCTCCATGTGAAGACAAGAGTCAATAGCCACTCAGCTCAATGTGAAGACAAGAGTCAATAGCCACACAGCTCCATGTGAAGACAAGAGTCAATAGCCACACAGCTCCATGTGAAGACAAGAGTCAATAGCCACACAGCTCCATGTGAAGACAAGAGTCAATAGCCACACAGCTCCATGTGAAGACAAGAGTCAATAGCCACACAGCTCCATGTGAAGACAAGAGTCAATAGCCACTCAGCTCAATGTGAAGACAAGAGTCAATAGCCAGACAGCTCCATGTGAAGACAAGAGTCAGTACTCACACAGCTCAATGTGAAGACAAGTGTCAGTACTCACACAGCTCCATGTGAAGACAAGTGTCAGTTCTCACACAGCTCCATGTGAAGACAAGAGTCAGTTCTCACACAGCTCCATGTGAAGACAAGAGTCAGTTCTCACACAGCTCAATGTGAAGACAAGAGTCAGTTCTCACACAGCTCCATGTGAAGACAAGTGTCAGTGCTCACACAGCTCCATCTGAAGAAAAGAGTCAATAGCCACACAGCTCCATGTGAAGACAAGAGTCAGTTCTCACTCAGCTCAATGTGAAGACAAGTGTCAGTACTCACACAGCTCCATGTGAAGACAAGAGTCAGTTCTCACACAGCTCCATGTGAAGACAAGAGTCAATAGCCACACAGCTCCATGTGAAGACAAGAGTCAATAGCCACACAGCTCCATGTGAAGACAAGAGTCAATAGCCACACAGCTCCATGTGAAGACAAGAGTCAATAGCCACTCAGCTCAATGTGAAGACAAGAGTCAATAGCCACACAGCTCCATGTGAAGACAAGAGTCAATAGCCACACAGCTCCATGTGAAGACAAGAGTCAATAGCCACACAGCTCCATGTGAAGACAAGAGTCAATACCCACACAGCTCCATGTGAAGACAAGAGTCAATAGCCACACAGCTCAATGTGAAGAAAAGAGTCAATAGCCACACAGCTCCATGTGAAGACAAGAGTCAGTTCTCACTCAGCTCAATGTGAAGACAAGTGTCAGTACTCACACAGCTCCATGTGAAGACAAGAGTCAGTTCTCACACAGCTCCATGTGAAGACAAGTGTCAGTTCTCACACAGCTCCATCTGAAGAAAAGAGTCAATATCCAGACAGCTCCATGTGTAGACAAGTGTCAGTACTCACACAGCTCCATGTGAAGACAAGTGTCAGGTCTCACACAGCTCCATGTGAAGACAAGAGTCAATAGCCAGACAGCTCCATGTGAAGACAAGAGTCAGTTTTCACACAGCTCCATGTGAAGACAAGTGTCAGTACTCACACAGCTCCATGTGAAGACAAGAGTCAATAGCCACACAGCTCCATGTGAAGACAAGAGTCAGTTCTCACAAAGCTCCATGTGAAGACAAGTGTCAGTTCTCACTCAGCTCAATGTGAAGACAAGAGTCAGTTCTCACACAGCTCCATGTGAAGACAAGTGTCAGTTCTCACACAGCTCGATCTGAAGAAAAGAGTCAATAGCCACACAGCTCCATGTGAAGACAAAAGTCAATAGCCACACAGCTCCATGTGAAGACAAGAGTCAATAGCCACTCAGCTCAATGTGAAGACAAGTGTCAGTTCTCACACAGCTCCATGTGAAGACAAGTGTCAGTACTCACACAGCTCCGTGTGAAGACAAGTGTCAGTTCTCACACAGCTCCATGTGTAGACAAGTTTCAGTTCTCACGCAGCTCCATGTGAAGACAAGAGTCAGTTCTCACACAGCTCCATGTGAAGACAAGTGTCAGTTCTCACACTGCTCCATGTGAAGACAAGAGTCAGTTCTCACACAGCTCCATGTGAAGACAAGTGTAACTTCTCACTCAGCTCCATGTGAAAACAAGTGTCAGTTCTCACATAGCTCCATGTGAAGACAAGTGTCAGTACTCACACAGCTCCATGTGAAGACAAGAGTCAATAGCCACACAGCTCCATGTGAGGACAAGAGTCAATAGCCACACAGCTCCATGTGAAGACAAGAGTCAGTTCTCACACAGCTCCATGTGAAGACAAGAGTCAATAGCCACACAGCTCCATGTGAAGACAAGAGTCAATAGCCACACAGCTCCATGTGAGGACAAGAGTCAATAGCCACACAGCTCCATGTGAAGACAAGTGTAACTTCTCACTCAGCTCCATGTGAAAACAAGTGTCAGTTCTCACACAGCTCCATGTGAAGACAAGAGTCAGTTCTCACACAGCTCCATGTGAAGACAAGTGTCAGTTCTCACGCAGCTCAATGTGAAGACAAATGCACAGGGGATAGATGATAGCGTGTATAGCATACAATATTCACATAGAAAAAAATCACATCCCTCTTTATACATATAGAGTAGTATAGGTAATAGGGGTTCTGGACCACTTCCACTGGAGCTGGATTTATATACCTATACTGCTACTACAGATGGAATTTTTTATGCCAAAATGATTATGCGATTTAACGATAGTCATGAGATTGGCTCTAGCTCACCAATACCTGGGGCCAATCAATGCTTCTATTAGCATAAAAATGATGATGCGATTCAACGAAAGTCGTTTTAAAAGAAATATCAATATTAATTAATAATGGATAAAATTTACTATAGCCCACGAGGATATTGGAAAGGTGTAGGAGCAATAAAAAAATTAGCCACCACGGCTAAGGTATCTAAAGATGTGGCCAAGGATTGGTTAAAGAAACAAGCGATGTGGCAGATATATTTACCGGCACCGCGTTATATACCGAGGAAGAAGTTTCATATTTTTACGACGAATGAAGTTCATCAGGCTGACCTCTTGTTTCTTCCCCACGATAAGGTAAAACGCAAAACGTATAAATACGCTTTAACCGTAGTGGATGTGGCTAGTCGATACAAAGAGGCTGAGCCATTAACCTCGAAAGAATCAACAGAGGTAGCTAATGCACTGAGTCGCATATATAAACGCGGACCGCTAAAATGGCCTAAGCTATTTCAAGTAGATCCCGGTCGCGAGTTTATGGGATCGGTAACTAAACTGTTAACAAAGAACGATGTCGAAATCGTCCGCGGAGAAAGAGAGGCCCAACGCAGTCAAGCTATCGTCGAAAGATTTAACAGGACATTAGCGGAACGTTTGTTTGGCTATCAGTATGGGATCGAAATGAAATCCGAGCGATTGAGATCAACCGAATGGGTGACACGATTATCAGCCGTTGTATCAGCGCTGAATAATGAAGTAACGAGATTAATAGGGAAGAAACCATCCGATGCTATTAAAATGAAATCCGTGACTTCCGAATCTTCAGCACCGAGGAGAGGCAAAGAACGAAAACTTCCGGATAGAGTAAAGGTAAGATATTTATACCAGGCCGGTGAACTCGAAGGAGGCCTACATCGCGCAACCGATCCCATATGGTCCCTTAAGACGTATAACATTAGTAGATTGGTTTCGAAAGAAGGAGAGCCTATTCTTTATTATCTTCAAGATGGACCGGGTAGGGCATTTGTACGAGAAGAGTTGTTTATAGTTCCCGACGGTACGGTATTACCACCATAACCATAAGCAAAGGTATTTACACCATCATTATCAATCCATCTCTTTGTATCTAAGGGGGATAATGATGTCTTGTTCATTCTTAATCCATATATCCTATGATTGTAACTTCTTAAAGAGTTCATCTCGTGTTTGAACGTTCTACCGTTGAATAATGATTCTTTATACTGTTCGTGTTTGATATGCTTTTTTACAACGTACTTCTTAACACCCTTAGCTTTTCTTATCTCCCCATTATCGGACTTCTTTATAGAATACATCTTAGGTCTTAATCCTACATACTCCGCTATAGGGGTCCCAGCACATTCATCCTTCATCTTACCTAACACCTTTTTATTTACTACGCTGTGCAGTATCTTTTGGGTAATCGCTCGTGTCGTACATATCTATTTTTTCTGCCATATCTTTATACACATCCTCGGTTTGTATTTCCAACAACAAAGAATCTGTGTCGGTATATAACACCTCGCATCTATCGCCGTATTGCTTCTTAAGTTCGTTGTAATAAAAGTCATACATTAAGTGTTTTGACAAGTCGAGAATACTCATACCGACGTACACCGGTCTGTTGAATTTTATATTACTCTTCTGCATATGCAACGCGGCTAAGTCGTTATCGAATATCTTGCTTCTGTTAAAAGCCGGACTGGCTATAAGTTTCCTGAGTCTTTCTTCCTCATTAGATCTGACTAATTTAACATCAACACGCTTCCTTAGAT